CTACACGTGTTGGTGGTAATATGAAAATTATGAGGAAGTTCCGGGAAACTCTGTATACTCCTACCAGAATTCTATAACTATTGAGGAATCTCCCAAGCTCAGCTGAACGAAGGCCAACATAAATTCCAACGTCCCTACCAAAGTTGGCTGCCGATTGTCTGAAGCGTTTCGGAGGGGCTGCCCCCACTCGAGGAGGAGAGGCCCCTTCGAAGCCCCTGGTAGGGGTATGCGCTAGAGGTGGGGAAGCAGACATAGACCTTGCTGATAGTGAGGGGGTCCTCATCGGGGGGCACGCCTTCCGACTCCCCTCCTAAGCCGACATCGACCCTCATCATAACAACACATACACCCACCAGTGCTAGCTTATCCAAGTGCACTCCTCCATCTCTTCCCATAGTAGTAGTAGGATGCCAAGCCTGTCATAGCCGTGAACAAAACCCAATGGGTGACACAGGTGTCACCTCTTCATCACTGTCCTGGCTACTAGAACTCCCTGATATCCACCTGAACAAGAGCATGGTAAAGGTAGAGTAGGAGGAGCCTACTAACCTCGAACCCCCCACTGGTCTGCATTTACCACTAGAATCAATACACATAGATCCATAGCGAGTCACTGAATGATGCGAGTCTAAATAGCGACTACTACTCCTAATGATAACAGCAGCTAACTCACTTAGGCTTCCTGTAGATATCCTATAAGGGCCGCCAACATCCTCGTTCGCTCCTCCTAGTCTTGTCACATCGTTTGAATTCAACGGGGAATTCTCCTACACACGAGCAACTATCACAGTAGCAGTATCAACTCTAGTACTACATCTAGAATCATCGTCCTCTCCATAGAAGGGCTATTCACTGCTGACAATGTCTCCAACCTACAGCGACGACCATACACGACCAACAGTGTGGTGAACCCCACTGGTCCTCCTCCTCCTCCTCCTCCACTGCTAATGCCCTCCTCCGCTCTAACACCCCAAGACGGTATGTCTCAATAACAGCAACACTACGATGCACACGATCACGATGATCTTTGAACCTGTCCAGCCAGTAGTCACCAATAGGGGCTTCTTATGACTATATAGTTTATTAATACCGTAATAAATTAAAATATAAAAATATTCACAGACTAGCCTATGAGCTTATACGAATGGTTTTATGGTGTTTATTGGCATTTCACCCGTTTCACACGAAGTGGCGTAAAACTCGGTGAAAAATCCGATATTCGCGGTGATATGCAGTAATCATGAAATGTGTTTTTCACTGGTGTTTTTCATATCACTAGGG